CCCCAAAACCCCAAAACCCCAAAACCCCAAAACCCCAAAACCCCAAAACCCCAATATTGGCCATGAGGCTGAAATAGGCTTTATAGGTATAAAGGATTTTAAATTTAAATTATGAGCGAGGATTTTGAAATGAGTGGGGATAGTAGTGCAAGTTCGTGGGCGAGTTCGGAGGTGAGCGAGGATGTGCAGGTAGGTGTGTGGGAGATTTTGTAGGCGGATTACACAGCTGGGTTTTATGATTCGTATATCGGCATTTCAGAAGCATCGTCTCCAATGAAGAAATTGATAAATTTAGAGAAGAAGAGTGAAATTGTGCCAAGGTACTAGTTCTAGGCGTTATATATATTTACTAACCTTATTCTAGAAGAAAGGGCACTTATACAAAGCATCCCAAAAAGCCATTTGGATTTGAATATAAAGATTCAAACTCTAATAAACAAATTGGACTCTACTATAGTCAAAGAAAGCCTTCTATTGCATATAAAGAGCCTCCCAAAAGCACATATACGCACTCTCCCAAGAGTAAGCTTACAACTAACCCTTAGTATTTTTCTCTAAGCCAGCACATAAATTCAGGCTACAAAAGGTCAAGAATCCTCACCGAGCCCCTTTAAAAATCAACCTGAATACTTCTACCATCATTTTACCACCCAAAATAAATCAGACTGTAAATATTAATCTCTATGACAGAGCTAATCCGATTCCAAGATCTGGAGGGTCATCGACAAAGCTAAATCTAGTATACAAATCGATGAACGGACAAGAAGACTTGAGTTGTATGGCAAGGAAGAGCTTGGGAAACAAATATGCGAGCAAAGGGAACAGGACTTGCCCAAAAAAGAAGGCCAAGAAGAGGCCTGCATGGAGAACTTCAGGTTTAAGATCCCTCAAGTCTAATGATTATTATCAGTCGGCTAATCCATCCACTTCATTGGATTTCAGCAGCCAATTGGCATATTTGGCAGGGACTAGCAACAAAATCCCTGTCTGGGTCAAAAAGACGAAGAAAGCATCTCATACAAGAGGAAGGACTAGTGAAGGAAGTCAGCTAGGAGGAAAAACACTAGATAATTCTTAATTTCTGAATTAAGTTCCTAGCATTATTCTTATATTTCAATCAAGAGAAGTACTTGGGGTTTTGGGGTTTTGGGGTTTTGGGGTTTTGGGGTTTTGGGG